AGGATCGACTGTGTCCATCCAGAGGAGGAGACTGATATCCAGGAAACGACGGATGGTGAGAAGGCTGGCTCGCACAACATGCCAGGAAGTGGAGTCCTTTTGCACACTGGGCTCATCCTCAGTAAGACGAATGGGTAGAACGCAAAGCTGCATAGAGAAGACAGAAGGCAGAACATGTCTCAAAATTACATTCACTAGGAGTCCCAAATGACCATCACTACCAACATGCTGGATATGGGTGCTGAAGAAAAGGTACGTTGAAAGAAGGCAACATGATCTTCATTGGCCCTGAAGGTGGCAGACCTTTGTTGGTGAGCAACTTTAAGGACTGCCTCAATAAGAGGTGATTTACAATGAAGTGACAATAGATTTCGACCAGGCATTCAATTCATTACAGGTAATATGTTCTCTCAACGACAGGCGCATACAGTACGTGACCTAACGCATGGAAAGTCGTGATCGTAATTTAAGTTGATAGTTTAGCGTAGATTTGATGCTCAGGAAGTCATTTAGTAAAAAAAACACTGCACGTCCGGGTCATTCTATTTAAAGAAAACCGATAGGACTTTCACGAAGCCAGAAGTAGCCGGACTTCAAACAAGTTTCCTATGCTAGGACAGAACCAAACCTTTCGTTTTTGTGCATTGTACTGGAATCAGGCGGAAGATTAAACGTTTTCACAAAGTCTTAACATACATTCAGTTCCATACTTTAATTTGAGTGGTGAACGGGTTCCAACATGAATGCACAAGCGCTCGGTTACCGAACTTAAAGTTGTAAAAAATGTCTACGTTACAACTATCTTAAAATAGAACAGCTTATAACTGATCATTTGAACAGAATGGAGGCACGACTACGTACAGAAGATTGCCTACATTTACTAGTCACTGACTGGCCTATTCAAATGTAAGCTTGTGAAACATTTTATTCCTGTGACGTCCTTGTCTGCGCAATCAAGCTAAAACCTGTTTGCCACAGACCAAAAGATTTCAAGCAATGTAGAAGCAGACGAAGAAGAAACAGGTAGTTCTCGTGAAATAATGTTGGGATATATATATATATATATATATAT